CTTCTTCTCCTCCTTCTCCTTCTCCTCCTCCTCCTCCTCCTCCTCCTTCTTCTTCTCTCTCTCTCTCTCTCTCTCTCCCCCTCTCCTTCCCTCTCCTTCTCCTTCTCCTTCTTCCTTTCCCTCTGTCCCTGCCTCTTTTCCTTTCTCTTTCTCCCTCTCTCCCTCCCCTCTTGCCTTCTCTTCCACCCTCCCCCAGGACTTTTAACCTCCAGGAGGCCTTGAATTCCATAGGCCTCCAGACCTGTGTGGAAGTCAACAAGTCCCTGGCAGAGAGAGACTTATCCACACTAAGTCCTGAGATTCAGGCCAATCTCATAGGTCAGCTCTCCAGCATCGCCGAGGGCAACCCTATCTGCTCCCTGATTGGTGAGTCTGGGCCTCCTGGGATCTGAGTGGAACTGCTCAGATGCTTGGGTTCCACACTGGCTTGCTTCTTTCTCCAGTGCCCCCACAAGACATGACTGAATCTCTTTAGCCACTCCCAATATCCTTCTAAGGTAGCATCATTTCATTTCAGCCAGTGATTTTCAAAATCAGTGAAAGACTTTTTGTACCTAGTTAAATGCCTTTGATTGATTGAAGTGTTGTGACTTGAAGTTACTTCAAGTGTAGACCCCTACCATTATATTATTACTAATTACCATTATTGTTAAGGCATAGACATGTTGCTGATCTGTGTCAGTAGAGGTCCCTCTCACACTGATGAAATCACAGCTCCTTAGCGTGTTGAAAATGCTAAAGTTACCTCGAGTGGTCTTTTTGTCCCCTTTGGGGACATTTAAAGAAGCCATGGACATTGCAGAGGGTCAGGCACCCCCTACCTCGGCCGTTTGCAGGGTCTTTGACGCTCTTCACTCTGTTGCCCTGGTCTTCAAGCTCCCCCTTATTCTGTGATCTTGGATTTCCCATTCAGCCCCACAGGCCAGATCTCTGCTCCTACAAAGTCTAGCTAGATGATGCCTGTGGGCTTGGAGTCGCCCTGGGCTTCTCTCCTATGAACAGCTGCTAAGCTGTGTCCCTGTACATTCAGGTTTAGAGGAACTGAAGGCAAGAGAAGTGGGTTGTGGAATGTAGTCTCCTCAAGGTCAGGATTTCTGGTGCCTGGTATACAGTAGGTGCTTAATAAATGCTTGGTGATTGTTTGATCCTATACAATTTCAGCTCCTTGAGGGCAGAGACTGGTTTTTTGTTGTTGTTTTTGCCTTTGTCTTACTGTTGCTTGTTCATACTTGGCACTTGTTTAACTAATTTGAGAAGCAGGATTTGTGGGTTAGTAAGACAAGCGTTAGATCAAGAGTGTGAGGAACTGGTTTCAGACCCAGTCTCTGCCATTTGCTCTTTGTGGTTGTTTGGCCTTTCAAGTCCCTCCCAGTTGGAGCCTCGCGGTCCGGTGAATTTCCATTTTATGCTTTCCAGCTGGGAGCATGAGCGTGGATGAGAAAAGGATGGGATTGAGAGCTCCTGTAGTCCGACGCTTTCATTTTACAGATGGGGAAACTGAGGCTCTGAAGGAGGTGACTTCTCCAGGGTCACACAGCTAGTTAGCGAGATTGAAATATAAGTCATCCTGACTCACATCCACGTCACCAGGTCACGCACATCGCCCTTTCAAGTTGAGTGTTCTCAAGATAGTAGGTGTTGTGTGTGTGTCAGCGTGAGTGTGAATGTGTATGTGTGTGTGTGCTGAGAGGAAAAGGAAGTGAATGCATTGGAAAAGGAGAAGGTGGATAGATCCCAGGAAAGCTAAGCTTTGGAAAGACAGGGCTTTGTGTTTTGAAAGCTGGTGAATTCAGTTGGAATTTTACAACATTCCATTTTTTCACATGGAAGTAAAATGGATATCCAGATGGAATCTGTCAGTTTTTCAGTCAGAAGGTGACCATCCCTACAACTAGAAATAGGGTGACTTGCCCAGGTCACACAGCTGGGATGTGACGAATCTGTAGCAAACGGCCTCTCTGTACCTATGAACTAATGGACAGAAGGGATCAATGGATATTGATCAGTCATGTTTCTCACCACCACCAGCCTTCTCCCAAAAGTATTTTAGACTATTTCTTGTACTTAAAAACAAAAAAAGCATCTCATTTTCCCGCCTTGGTCAATAATTATTAAGGACTTGCTATGTTCCAAACACTGTTGTAGGTTGGGGGTTCCAAGACAGGGGGTTCCACAGCAGACCCCACCCTTGAGGAGTTTCCCCTCTACTAAAAAAATTAAACAATAAATAAGGTGTCCTGGAGGGATGGATAGGGTGTCCTGGACTTGGAATCAAGAAGATCTCTATTCACCTCTGACACTCGCTGTGTGACCCTGGGGAAAAAACTGCTTCTCTGGATCTCAGTTCCCTCGTCTGTACAGTGAGGAGTGATGTCTGAGGTCCCTTCCAGCTCTGTGTCTGTGCTCCTAGGTCACTAAATTTAGTTTTCAGGGCCTCAGTTTCCTCATCTGTAAAATGATAAGAGTTGGACTCAATGATTTCCACGATCTCTCCCAGTTTTAATTCCGTCGTCCTGTAAGGCACAATAGCTTCCCTGACTCACGAAGCTTTCTGCATTTATTTTTTCAGATAGACGAATTCATCTGTATATGAAGAGTGTCCTCAGTCTTCCAAGCCATCAGAAATGCATGCCCCCTATGCCTGGGGGCCTCACCATTATCCAGCCTGAGCTGGAGACTCTGGGCTCTCAGTACGCAAACATTGTAAACCTCAATAAACAAGTGTATGGACCCTTTTATGCAAATATTCTCCGAAAACTCCTCTTCGTTGAGGAAGGAGGCAGAACAGCAGAAAACTGACCCTTCCAGCAACTAGTAGTGAGCTGGCATTGGAAAGAGGACTGGCCACGTGAGAACATGGGCGCCCGGTTCTTTCCCTAAATCCTCATTATAAGGACTGTGGCATATTCCCTGTATCCCCGTCTGTCTTTCAGGGTTACCTGAGATCTGTGTAACTTCTTTCATGCTAATTACAGGGCATATACCTGTCGCACACCTTGCCCCACACATTCTCTGTCCCTCTTTGAAAACTTATTGGAAGGAAACCATGGTGTTTTTTGTTTTTGTTATTTTTTAAAGAGAGACTTATGAAGGACAGGAAACAATTTCTAAGGGATTCTATCACCTGTATGTGATGTTTTTGTTAAAGTTTCCTCGATCCCGTGATCCTAATAACTACCCAGATTCCTAGACCAGGTGTTATGGCTCCTAACTTGTCCCATGTGGAATCTAATTTTTATTTTGGCACAACTTTTGAGAGGGTTGTGGGTCAGGAAGTGGTGAGGACAGTCACTAAAGGGATGCCCAAATCCCTCTCATTAGATGTACTGGCAAAATAAAGCAAGTCAACACAATTGTAGCTGAAACATACAATTCGATTTTATTATTGCTAGGTAAGAGAAGCTTCTGTAGGCTTTCCCCCTTCCCTGGGATCTGAGCACTTTCCTGGAAGGGTTTACCTGACAAATACCAAATCACTTGTTACGTTGCCAGATGTCAGTATTTGTACCCTATTTGAAATCTTTGAAAGCCGTGTCATTTTGACATCATCGGAAAAACCACTAGGGTGTAGCTTGTTAGAAACCAATCACTTCTAAAAAATTTTATGCTGGAGGTTGCATCTTTTCTACGTGCACCAGGGGAAGAATCTACAAGGAGATGACCTTCTCCAGGGTTCGAGCTTTGGCCAAGAGGGTCCTTGTAGATCGCAGCCAATCAGATGGAAAAAGTGGAAGACATGTTGCCTTTTAAAGGTAGCCTTGGATTACAGGAAATTAGGTTTGCTTGGGAGAGAAAAAGAAAGAGGATTGTATAATCCCAGGTGATGATCTGAGATGTTGCCAAGCAGCAAACCTTGGGTTTTTTGTTTTGTTTTGTTTTGTTTTTTAAGTGAATTTTACATCTGAAAAGAGAAAAAAAAACGTACTTGAGCTTCTGTATCACTTAACCTTGATGTCTACTAATCTACTTTGTGCCTCTTTTATTTGTATTGTTAAGCTTTCAGAATACTTTGAGAAGCTGGGCCCTCATGGACCTTTGGTTTTTAAAGACAACTGCATGTTACGGAATTCTGTTTTGGTCTTCCCCGAGAACCAAGGAATGCACCAGCATTAGGATGGGCCTCCTGGGGGAATTGATCCTCTTGTATAAAACCATTTCTTAATGGGTGATTTTTCTTGGATTCCATTGGGCACAGTTAACTTGATTGAACACATAATTTTTTGTACTTAGGGGGTTGTTTGTGTGTGAGAAGGGAGGTCTTCTTTAATTATTATGTTATTTCCCTCCTTCTCAAGTCTCTATCCTCCCCACCACCACCACTGCTGCCTCCCTCCCCCCAAAACACCCTCATCTATTTGGAGATATGACTCCTTTATGATTTTGAAAGTTAAAGAAAATGGCAGAGTAAATGAGGTATTTCTGATCTTTTTATGCCCAAATCTGAGCATATTGACTTATTTTCTCCTTGAATGACCAATTAAAAATATACGCCATCTACATGTGGACAGTTGTCTGAATGGAACTCTATTCATGGGCACAGCAAGGTACTGTGCCACCCCCTTTTCCCTGGCACAGCTTCCCTTCAGTAAGGTGCTGAACAGAACTTGGTGTTTCTCGAATTCTCTGTCCTGTCCTTTGTCCCCACATTAAGGGCTGAGAGGGGACAGCGCCAGTAAGTCACATTTTATCTCTTCCAGTAAGTAAATAACCATCCTGTTTAAAACAGGGAGATAAAAGCAGAGCGTGTTTTTACCATAAAGTTTGAATCCAGTTGTGATTCTTTTATGCACTTAATTTATATCGCAAGAAAAACAATTTACATTTTTAAAAAAAATTACACTTTTTTTAAAAAAGGGCATTTTATTTTTTAAAAGTGGCAAAATGAATTTGTGTCTGGATTTAGGCAACTTGCAATGACAAAGGTGTCTCAGTCCCCATCTTCCCGGATGCTGTTCATCCGAAGGTTGCTTAAACATTGGCTTCCATTTTAGACTTTCTTAACATGGTCACGTTTTGCTATGCAAGATTTATTAAATGTAAAACTAATATTTTAATGTATTGCATAAATTCTGTTTTTGAAAATTTTGGCAAGAACCTGTTCCATGCAAGCTGGCAATGTTTATTTTTTTTTCAGTTAAATATTAAAGCATTGACTTAAAAAATGACTGGTGTGTCTGCTTCACTGGAGGGGATTTTCAGAGACTTGCCCAATACTGCTCACCCATGGGGACTTTAAGCTTTGGCTAATCAGGGCATCATCTTGCTGTCATAGCCCTCCAGGTTCTGCTGTTCTTAAAAAAAATTTTATTTTGTTATTTTATTTTGTTATCTTTTGTTATTCTATACTTGACAAATGCCAACAATTGTGGACATTTCCATATACAAATGAGAACAGAAAAAGGAGGATTGTACATGAAACTTGAAATCTTGATTATATACAGCCTGGTTTTCTAAAAAGTATATCATCAGTCGGTCATCTGTTAAGCACCGACTATGCTGGATCAGAACACAAGTACATGATTGAAAAGATCCCGACTTGGAATGGGCTCACATTCTAAAGTAATAAGTTCATTATGTAGTTTCAAAGCTGTCCTGCTTATCTGTGTTTCTGCTGAATTTCCCTTGTTTCTCTTTTGTTCATTAAAAAGAGTGCTCCAGGGCAGCTAGGTGGCACAGTGATAGAGCACCGGTCCTGAAGTCAGGAGGACCTGAGTTCAAATTTGACCTCAGATACTTGACACTTAAACTAGCTGTGTGACCCTGGGCAAGTCACTTAACCCCGAATGCCTAGCCAAAAAAACCCAAAAAACCAGAAACAGACAAAAACAAAAAACCCAAAAACAAACAAACAAAAAAAAGAATGCTCCAATGGTCTTTTTTTTTTTCTTTTTGGCCATAACAATCACGAGCCCATTTCCTTACTCTTACCTTCTAGTTTAAAAAAATAAAAATAAAAACCTCTTGTAATCAATAAATATGATCAAAAAAAAAAAATAAAAACCCATACCTTGACGATGTCTGCAAATGTGTGCCTCCTTCTGCATCTCTGATCATCACTAATCTAGTTCATCACCAGTCTCTTCTGCTGTTTTCCAAGCGACTCTCATCACTTATCTCTGCTTTGGGGCTTGGTGGAGTGGGGACAAGGCTGGACTTTGGAGTCAGATCTGGGTTGCCATCTTCTCTGTGAGGAGCACCTTGTTGGGTGCTCGTGGTTGGGATGGTTCTGGTGGGGGCACTCGACAACCAGGGAGAAATCAGTAAAGACTCTTGTAGGGGTTGAAACTTGAACTGAACCTTGCTGGGCCCCCGGGGTTCCAAGAAGCAGAGGTGAGGAGGAAGAGCTTTCTAGGTATGGGCCCGTGGGGAGGAATGGGGACTGAGGCTTACTGAAGCCGGCCAAATTTTGTCCTTTTGTGCAGTTGCTTCAGATGTGTCTGACTCTCTGTGACCCCATTTGGGATTTTCTTGACAAAGATACTGGAGTGTTTTGCCATTTCCTTCTCCAGCTCATTTTACAGATGAGGAAACTGAGGCAAACGGGGAAGTGATTTGCTCAGGGTCATATAGCTAGTAAGTGTCTGAGGCCAAATCTGAACTCAGATCTTCTTGACTCCAAGTCCAGTGCTCTGTGCACCACGGCACCACCTAGCTGCGTCAGTGACATTAATTAGCAGGGGAGAATATGTCACAAGTATGCAAGATTATGCAACAGCCATGGAACAGATTACAATGTAATTTAAGCACAAGACAGCATCAGAATGGCAGGGAGTATGGAAGAATCAAAATAAGGTCGAGTATTTTTATAATCGTTTAAGATTTCCAGAGCACTTTGCATTTACGGTCCCATTTGATCCCACACCGACCCTAGGTGCCATTATTATTACCATCTTACAGTTGAGGAAACTGAGGTTAAGAGAGGTTAAATTACTCGTCCAGGGTCACAGGGCTAATAAGCGTGTGGGGCAGGATTGGAACTCCAGTCTTTCTGACTCCAAATCCAGCACTCTCATTCAGTGTGCCACCTAACTGAATAGGTAAGTACTTTTGTAATCAGAGGATTTGGGTTCAAATACTGCCTCTTTCTACCAGTGTGACTTTGGACGAGTCACTTCAGTTTTCTGGGCCTCAGTTTACTCATCTATAAAATAAATGAGCTGGGCCAGATGACCTCCTTTCTTCTTTTGTGTCTATGATCCTATACTTTGGAGGGGAGGAAGAAGGAAATACTTTCAGAAGGGGGAGGGAAGAGAAATTAGGGAAGGCTTCTTGGAGGAGGTGGCATTTGCATTGCATACTTACAGTTATATGAGATTTCCAAAAGTCAAAATGGGACGGAGTTGGCATCCTCAGCCACCTCTTCTGCTTTCTCGTCTTTCTCCATAATGTTCTTCGTGAGTCATCAACTGGGCCTGGTGCTATTTGAGGTTCAAAGACACTAGACCATTCTGGGGAGGTCCCCACAGCTGGAACTGGAGGATGGGGAATATGGAAAATGTAAGCTCTTTTGGGGCAGTGAGGTGGTGCAGTGGATAGAACACTGGCCCTGAAGTCAGGAGGACCTGAGTTCAAATCCGGCCTCAGACCAAACACTTGACACTTACTAGCTGTGTGACCCTAAGCAAGTCACTTAACCCCAATTGCCTAAAAAGCAAACAAACAAACAAATCAAAAAAGAAAATGTAAGCTCTTTGAAAGCAGGGACTGTCTTTGCCATTGTGTGTGCTACCACCCAGTGCATAGGCCTAGCCTCTCACACCAGAGGCACCAGAGGCACTTGTTAAGTGTTTGTTCTCAATGAATTAATTAAACCTATGATCCAGGATCCTGACCAGGCTTCTCAGGGACCTCTTTAACCTCAGGAGCCTCGGCAGGGCTCCTGGGTTCCGTGGGAGGACAGAATACCTGCAGACATCTCAGGAATTTCTATAGTAAGTGGATGTCATCGAGATTTGAAGGCTTTCAGCTTCTTATCTCCTTAAACAGAGATTTCCCTTTGATGGGAAACTCCTCAGGATGTTTGAGTGGGCCCATGGAAGGCAGCCAATGAGCATGAAGAGAGCTCCAGGAAATTCTTGAGTCACCCAAGGTCCTTTCCAACAAAAGCCTTTTTCAAAATCAACTATGCAAGGAGAGGGAGAAGGTCCTTGGCGCTCTTCGTGGTAGGATTTCAAGAGTTTAAGTACACCCAGGGGAAAAACCTGCCCAGGTGCTCACTGAGACTTGAAATTCCACATTCAAGGTTGTTTACCCCAACTACATACTCTGTTTGGGTTCAGTTACCCTAGAGAGTAATCATTACTGAAAGCTTGATGGAAAATGACTTGAGGAAAGGGACCGAGTCTTTCTGTAGGCTCCAGTGAGGAATTGATGGGCCCTTGATAAATATTGGTTGGAGCCATCGGTCTTCCACCCTTTGCTGGGACTGAGTCGATCAGATATTGTTAGGAAGGCAGATTGTGACAGAGAAAGCACGAGGTAAGCTTTGAGGATGTTGGGGGAGGCTAAGAAGACCAAGGGACCTCCCAAAATGGAGGCTGTGGATGGAAAGACGTCTCCTTCATCATTTTACCCTAGGCCCATGCTGGAGAAGGTGTTCTGATGTGGCTTCCTGTCTGCCCTTTGAAGCATACCTCATGACATTGTTTTTCTAAATATTTTCAAAATGATGCTTAGGGAGCGCAGTACAGTAAATTTCCATGGTCTTCAATCAGACAACAAACATTCATTAAATGTATGTCGGGCTTTAGGTGGGTGGGTGCTATCATTACCCCCATTGTACGGATGGGGAAACTTTGGTTAGGTGACTTGCCCAGGGTCACACAGTTGCTAAGTGTGTGAGGCTAGATTTGAACTCAGGTCTGTCTAGATATCTACTATGCCACTTTGCCTGTAAGGGAGCCTAGCTGGAAGGCAGCTAGAGGTGACTGAGGACAATGCGTTCATTTACAGAAGGGGAAACTGAAGCCCAGATAGATATTATATATGAACACACACACAAATATACAACACACATGTAACATACACATATGTATAATATAGTTATACCACATATATCACATATAATATACACATCTCATCCATGTCATGCATATAACATATAGACATATCTTCCATATACTATACATTATAAACAGTATAACATCTTACACACGTTTACACATATACCCATTTTAAATCAGTATATGTTATAAAACATGTATATAATAAAAACACATAAATGTTCATAAACATGTATATATTACACATATACATATAACTTACACAAATATTACACACACCTATATTATATTTATATATCTCACATGTATTGGACATATACATTATAGTGAACACACATACAAAATCAATTATAAAATAAAACCTTTATCATAAAATAATAAAATAACACCTTTATTATAAAATACATGTACATGTATATTAAATGCACACATATATTACATATATTATATATTATATTACATACACATACCTAGTTATATAGATATTTCACATGCATTAGACATATACTCCAATACACGTGTATTACACGTACACATAGCTTACTTATACATTATAGACATGTATTATACTACATATATGCGTACATTATGCATATATACGTATTTTTAAAAGTGCCTTGTCCAGGGGCATGGGGGTAGGATTGGAACTCAGGACCTCGGACTCCAGGTCCGGCGCTCTATCCACCATATTATGTATACAGGGGCTAACAGCTGGCAGAAGGATGAGGAGGATAAGTCCCAGGGAGGAGGTGGCCTTGGAGCGGAACGAAAGGACGTACTATCCTACTCCCTAAGTTATTACGGGAAAGGACGCGCAACACTCAAGCCCAGCCTCGGGCCGCCACGTGGATGGCTCCTTTTCCCCTCCCCCTACGCGCGAGCTCCCTGGGATGGGCGGGGCTCGTGGCTTCCTCAGGGGGCGGGGCTCCGCCGGAGCACATCCGGGTCTTGCCATAGGGTCCCTAAAAAGCGGGCGGAACCTTTCCTCCGTCAGGCGTGGTGCACTTCCGGGGGGGAGAATTTGGTTGCCGCACCACCGGGTGTTCATGCTCGTAGCGGTCCTCCCGGCGCCGCTGGGGTCGCGGAGGTGAAGTTGAGGAGGTGAGTGTAGCGGCAGCGACCGGGAGCCATGGACGTGCTAGCCGAGGAGTTCGGGAATTTGA